CCACACTACTGTCTATAGAATACAATGTCCATTTCTAAAGACTGAAATATCACAAGATGACACGCCACACTACTGTCTAGAGAATATGATGTCCTAGTGTTCTTTCAATTATGATTTTTTGAGTCTTTTTTGTTTGTATCTTCTCTCACATTTTGTTATTCTGATCTACACAGATTACTTCTGATCAGAAGTCAATTTCTACAATCTACAGATCTTCATAATTGATAAAGAGACAAAAAAAAACTATATTTGGTTCCGACTCAAATGCTGTTTCTTAACTCAATGCTTTTTATTTATTCCAGACTGTCCTTGAGCACATTTTGCATACAAACTTAATCTAGCCTTACCTTTAGCAACTTTTACTATGTATTTCAGATAAGTTTACCTTTAACACAATTATGGCTTCAAACCTATAGACTTACCTTGAACACAATTTGTTTACACATGAGGCAGGTTTGGAGTATTTCACATAAGTTTACCTTTAGCACAGTTATGGCTTCAAACCTATAGACTTACCTTCAACACAATTTGTTTACACATGAGGCAGGTTTGGAGTATTTCACATAAGTTTACCTTTAGCACAGTTATGGCTTCAAACCTATAGACTTACTTTCAACACAATTTGTTTACACATGAGGCAGGTTTGGAGGTTTTCTCCAAACATTTCTTTCAAATATTTATCCATTTCGATCAAAGTTCTAGGGCTCAAAGATATCTCCCCTTCCTCCTAAGATGACAGAAAATGAAAAAAAAATCAATTTAATTAATGACTCTAACTTAGACTGTAACATAATCACTACATATAAGATATGCAACTGTTTCCAAATGTTTATCGTCAATGAAAACTAAGGCAGCAATCATGGAACTTCCTCTTTTCTTTTTCTTTGGTGGGGGGGGGGGTTTCACTGCTATTCCTTAAATTACACGAAACTTATTAAATTTTATCTAGTTTTCGCTTATACCAATCATATCATTTGAATGAGTTTTTTCTATAATTTGTTTTTTATGTTTTGAAATTTCAAAACTTTTGTTAAGACATTTTTGAGAAAACATTAAATATATTTCTTTTCATCTGAAGAGTTTCATTTTTTTTTGGTTCATTAAAAAAGTTCCTTTTCATATATATCTTATCAACATAACAATCATCGATTTTCACATTTCTTTTTATATTTTATTTTGGTCAAGCTAAAACACTTTGGACTACGAATTGTAAAAAGCATCATATAAACAAATATTTATCAGACCTAAGAACTGATCTTTGAAAATTACATCAAGTCAGGCTAGGTAACTATTTCTGCTAAAAATATTTTTGATCAAAATCAATTTATACTTAATAAATCTACTTTATTTTCATTTAGTTATAAGTTATTTTATTTATGTGCAGTGTTTTAAAATGATAAACTTAAAAATTAAAGAGACCAAACACAAGTTGTTCACAAAAACCCCAAGTTGCACTTTCCTCAATGAAAAATTGAGCAAAAGAAAAAAAAATTTATAAATTGTCTAAAGATATGTCTCTTAGATATGATCAACCTATCGGCATGATAAAAAAAAGTCATATCTGACAGGAAGTCGTCATTCAAAGGATCAATAAACAGATAACGAATGACTGAATGGTGTATAGGTAGTCAGATGATGTAGCAAATTGTTATATTAATAATAGTTATGATGGATAACACCTCAATAAATATAACTTAAAATTGTTTTGTTTGTGTTTTATGCAAAATAATTTATTCATCAATCACATTTATTCCACAAATCATCACATCTGAATTTCATAAAACATATATACATCAAATTTTTATTTCATACAAGTAATATGACAAATTGACACCAAATATATTTCTTTTAAAAAATCGTCCACCTTTGTTTATTTTGCACATTTAACAGGGTCACTTTGAATGTTCACGAGTCCAGCAGATATATCAGGAAGCTTTCAGCAAAAGTGATGTCGGGTGTTTACATTTTTCGCTTTTCTTGAAGCATTGCAAGACAGAATCTATGTACAAAAATGTGATTTATTCTTCAACGCATGTCATATTTAGCCGCAGATTAACTACTCCCCGGGAGAATTACTAACCTATGTCGTACATCGTCTGAAATCTCGAGAAATCACTCATTCTGACTGCTGATTGGCTGGTGATGGTTTTCCCAGCTTGTGCCAAGATCTCATTTTTTATGGCCAATTGCACACTACACGTCAAAACACTCAAGTATCATCTGGTGTAATCAAGCATTAATTGCTGTTTAAATCATTATTTTTTTCTGATCACATTGAATAATCAAAGTAGAGATACTCATATTTTGAAGAATATCACATAAAATATGAAAATTTCCCAGCCTTCATATTCATTGTGTTGTGTGGCATCTAGTCACTCACCCATTGTGGACGTAAACTACAGTTGAATCATCAACGATTCAGATTATGGTACATTCATGTACACATAAAATCAAATAAATAAACACATAATAAACACAACATGTTCATACGTTTTTATTGAAATGAAGAAGGGTCCCTATAGAGAGGTCATTTATGGGAGGTCAAACCAATGTAAAATTGTTCCAAAATATATTCATATCTAAGAGGAAGTCATTGCTGGGAGGGGTCATATCCACCATGGAACACTGTATCTCTGTTTGGGACCTGTAAAAAAAGTATTTTTGTAACAAAGTCCACGCAAATTGGACAAAATATGGCAGAGTAATTCTCAAAAAAAACAACATAAAATTATGCTTTTTGTGGCATCTTGACCCCCAACCTCCTATAATTACTAAAAATATGCAAGTCCACCATTTTTTTGCCAATGTGTGGAACCTGTACAAAAGTATCTTTTTACCAAATCCCATGTAAGTTGGTCAAAATATGGCTGAGTAATTGACCAAAAGTATGCTTTTTTTGTGAGAGCTCAAAATGGGCAAATCCAACTTTTTTTGTATGTCAGTGTATTGGGTGCATGACAATTTATATTTGTGACAATTTTCATCTTGATTGCTGTAAATGTGACTGCACAGGAACCCAAAATATACAAAATTGGGTAGTTTTAACTTTGACCCCATAAAACCATTAAAAAGACCTAAATCTAAAAAATGAAAACGGTGTCTGGGCATACTGTACCAAGGTATAACCGTACCAAGTTTTAAGTAATAGCAGTTAACTGAGAAATTTGGAAGAGGAAACAACAGAAAAACAGTACAACTCTCTGCAGAGACGATATTCAATAAATAAGGATTTGAGACATCAGAATATTTTGCCATCACTACTGTATTCTTTAACCCTTTCACTGTAACTGCAGTCAAAGGGTTAATAAGGCTTACTTGATGCTTTGTCATAAGAAAACTAAGGTAGCTTTCAAACCAATATAATTTACCATAAAAAAAAAAACATTCTTAATTATGAGAAAATTGTCTAAAAACAAAAAAACTATAAAAATTTTACATAACTATGTTTGTTTTTTGCCCAAGTCTTCTAAATTTCTCACTACATTCCACTGTTCTTCACTGCCTAAGATAGGTCTTGTCACTTCCCACAAAACCATAAATTACTTCTCACACGTGTTTATTTACTCTACATCAATGTAAACATTGTATACTCTATACAAACCAATTTAAACTTTGTCTGTTTTAAAGCTAAGCTTCTTTAGCAGTATTTTAGATAGCATGTTCACAAACAAGTGGGAGTGTAAGCTATACTTAATAAAACTTGTCAAAGAGAAGGAAGTGACGTGAAAAATGATACATGGATAATATATTCTCAACAGGGTTTCCTAGCAAATATAAATTATGCTTTCAAAACAGACTGAAAATTATAAGATAAACAGATAACTGTCATATACAGGCGAGACTCCTTGGAGCTTCACAGAAATGTAAATCGTCTTTTTTTTTATCTTTTTTTTTTTGCAAATTACATAACTAAAATAAATGTTACATATGACAAAATATAAACTTTGATTTTTTTTAGTTAAAATTTGATACACAGGTATTTATTGACACCTGAAAGGTGCTCACTAGTCCAGTAAGGGTTAAAAAGTGTCAGTTAATGTAGATTATTTTATTAAGCCTACATACTTGAGCTGGGTGATTAGCAAATTTTTCTAATCAATTACTCTTACAAAATCCATAATTCTCACAAGACTAATCCTACTCTTTTCAATTTATTGTGGGTTGTTTTTTTAAGATATTTTCAAGCAACCATTTGTTTAATATTATAGGACATATACAGGTACAACAATTTAGGGTTAAACTTTTTAATCTTAAGTTGTTCTATGTGGAAATGTAGTATTTAAAACATAGTAAAAACCTAGAAATACAACTAATACCGTTTCACCCTACAAGACTACTGTAACTAAAACTACTGAATTTTTGTTGAAAAAGTAAACCTTACTTTCTGTCATTGATTAAGAATCAGAAAAATTATCAACAAGAGTGACTAGTGAGATTAGTATTAGGCACAGGTTAACATAAGCAACATACACACAAGAGTGACTAGTGAGATTAGTATTAGGCACAGGTTAACATAAGTAACATATACACAAGAGCGACTAGTGAGATTAGTATTAGTATTAGGCACAGGTTAACATAAGTAACATACACACAAGAGCGACTAGTGAGATTAGTATTAGGCACAGGTTAACATAAGTAACATATACACAAGAGTGACTAGTGAGATTAGTATTAGGCACAGGTTAACATAAGTAACACATACACAAGAGCGACTAGTGAGATTAGTATTAGGCACAGGTTAACATAAGTAACATACACAAGAGCGACTAGTGAGATTAGTATTAGGCACAGGTTAACATAAGTAACATATACACAAGAGTGACTAGTGAGATTAGTATTAGGCACAGGTTAACATATACTTATTTTGAGAACATAGTTTATAGTTTTGTACAAACACAACTATACTGTGTTAATCAAGTATGTGGATACTTCTTGTGTAGAAAGGGATGGTGAAACCATGTGTAGTTCACCCGTTACAGGTACAGGAGAATAAGGTTATCATGGCTATAAAATCAGTCATTATTTTGTACACAACAATATTCCAGTGTGGAGTGAGCCAAAAATTTATTATTGTGAATCGGCAAAATACCGATTTTATGAGTCATGACACTAATTGATCAAACTGAACAAACTTAAATTAATCAAAAATAATAACATGAAATCATTAAAGTAATGTTTTGATTAGTCAGAAAGACAAATTCCAATTATCTAATTACATGACAATAATCTATGATCCCAGATAATCACTTCTACCAATTAACCAAGATAACTGCATAGCTGTACTACATATCTAATCTGGTATTACTTTTAACACATTTTAGCTATATGCTTAGCTTGACCTTACCTTTAAGCACAGTCTGTTCTCTACACAGTTAATCAGGTCTTACTTTCAGTTGTTTTCCCAAGTTGAGAATACAATGCCTACCAGATAGAGTTAGTGGAGCTATCATGATAAATGCTCCAAATGCAACCATTGGGGTGTTGACAACCAAAAGTTATGTTCGTGAGTAACCTTTAAAAATGACAGTGTGAATTACAACAAAAACTCACCTGAATGAGCCACTTGTCTTCTACCAATCGGGCCAGCAGATGTTCTGCCTCTTTTTTAGACATTCGCTTTTCTAGTTCATGAGTTAGATTCAGAACAACCATGGATGATATTACTCCATTGTCTGCAAGGACAACTTTTTCCAGCTGATGTAAGAAATAAACATTTAATACCTTACTGTAATTAAAATACACTTAAGTCTGAAAATCATGTATACTTGCTTGTAAAATTGTCCTAAAAATTTCTAATTTCAAATTAAAATATTTCCAATGAGCACATTTTCAGCCATTCTTAATTAGGCCTAACTATTTATTTTTTTAACTACAAATAAAGTTTAATTTGAGATTTATTTATTAAAAACTCAAAACCATGTTTAAAAGTACACAATAATTTCAAATTATTGAAGACACAAAACCTTACTAAAATATCTACATGTTTTAGTGGGTCTGTGACCCATCATCATCATCAGGAAGGAAAAAAAACCCACTGAAACATGTAAATGTTTTAGTAAGACTTGGTACCTTCAACAATTTTAATTTATTTGTACTAATACTTTTAAATGTTGTTTTAACTGAATTTGTAATAAATAGCTTTACATAATGTATCATGTTCCTGTTTTATTTTTTTAATTTGAGATTCTATTTAAGTTTTGTCCTTTCACTTATATGTTTTCATTTACAGGCAAATGAAAGTTATTTTACTTTTAAAATCTGAAGAAAAATGATACAAATTCCAAGTTCTCAATTACAAACAATAAGATTTAAACATTTCTAGTGTTTGTTATTATACTTTCTTTGTAAAGTGATATACGTACTTAACATTGTATTAGGTAAAGGTGGAAAATATTTTAACCTCAATATACAAATTATATGTACCATCTTCAAGTTTATAAAATATTCATTGAGCTGAAGTTCACAATAAATTAAAACAAAATATTATTTATAACTAAAATCGTAGAGATCGGCACGGACTTCAATATCATACTAATAACGAACTTTTAATGTGGGAAGTACAGCCAATCCAGCAACAATGGACAGTCTTAACACCCACAGCAAACTGTCAGAACCGAATGAGGTATTGTAGAACACAAGCCTAATAGACTGGATGTTTTTTGAAAGTTACAGGGCCAACCACCCATTCTGATGCCAGTATAATTCTCTGCAACCACATAACACATATGGACATAATACGTAGACAGGTCTTGACTCACATGATGAAATAAACCTACTGGAATGTACGATATCATAGTGTACACACCCACTGCTGGGAAGATGATGTTGTAAATAATAATTGTAATTAATAAAACGAGACAATAATTTATTTGTAAATTTTTAAAAATTATAAGTTAAAAGAAACTTTAAAAACTCTACAAGTTTCATTGGAAATAATTCCACCATCTTCAGGAGAATAGATCACGAAGTACACATGAAGTTTCTTATAAACCTAAAGTACTAAAGTAATTAGCACATTTTTACAATGGTACCATTTACAACAACGATTTCCAAAAGTTTACTTCCGTGGCTACTGGGCCTAAATCTCTATTTTCATTTTGTTTTTAACAATTTCTAAAGATCCTCTTATATTTAGTTCATCTTTTTCCCATTACCTGTTTAAGTATTTTTACATTATCTCATGTGTAGACTTCGCCACATGTTTCTGCCAAAGCCAATTGACCTATTTTTAATTATACACCACATTTTGATGTTCTTTTACTCTAAATTTTAAGTTTCTACTCGTCTTTCCAATATAACTTAGACCACAAGTACATTAAATTTTATATATATACCACATTTATCCCTTAATTCAATTTTATCTTTCAAACATTAATTATATGACTTAATTTTCATTGAGGAGTAAATGTTACTTGGAAATTCATGTTTTGCCTAAACACATTAACTATTTGAGATCGTGTCATCCATGGTCACAAAAAATGTCTTCATATTCGTATTTTGTTTATAGGGCTATTGAAGTTTTATCATACGATGAGGATTTTATGTTAGAACTGATGTATTTAAAACAGGTAGTGACTGACAGAGATAGGATATATTGTAACAAACTTCAAATTTCTGGATGTACTATATTGCAGATAACAAAAATGGAAAGTAGAGAAAGAATATGTTTGCCTCATGTTTTTCCATGGTCAATAAAAATAGGTAATGTGTTTAGGCAAAACTTGAATTGCCAAGTAACATTTACTCCTCAATAAAAAGCATGTACATTAGATTTATAAGAAACTTCATGATTTCTTCTCCTGAAGATGGTGAAATTATTTCCACTGAAATCTGTAGAGTTTTTAAAGTTTCTTTTAACTTGTATATTTTAAAACTTGACAAATAAATTATTGTGCATTATACCAAAGTCCCGATGACCTCTGGACATTTATGGTGTCTACCTGTTATGCAGTTGATATAACCATTAGTTTTGTCTCTCCAATCTATCACCCATTCCATTTAACATGACATTAGAGTAGACCCTATGACAACTGTAGATGTTTTTTTACTTCAAAATTGACATGCTAGAAAGTTCAATTACAATTTTTTTGAAGAGTTCCAGATCTGCAGAAGAATAGTCACTTGAAAGTCGTGAAATAGAGCTTTCTGTAGTGTTAACTAGAGCATAGTACTGCATTCCAGTATCTTCTGCCAATCCCTTCCTGATCTCCATATGCAATGGTTTAATATGCTTATTGATGCTGTTAATATTCTGACTTAATTCACCGTTCACTGTAAAAATATAAAATCCAAAATTGGGTTACGTTTACTCAAACAATAGCTGCATCACAAACCGATAAAACTAAATATGTTTTCTCTCTCTCTCTACTAGTCTTTAACAGCAATATTATTATAAAAATAATTATAGTTAAGTACTTAAGACAAGATTCGTTAAGTTTTATGCTAGAACTATAAAAAAGAAACTATTCTAAACTAAAGCTATGCAATTAACTCAATTAATTGATATAATTACTAATGACAATTAGTGTCACATAAATAATTGTTTACTCAAAATTATGATTAAATTGTTAATGTCACAAAATAATCAGAAGTAGTGTTTCTCAATATTACTATTTTAATTATTTCTGCTATGCAAGCTTCCTGTGAGAATAACTGGTTAATGAGCCCAAAAATTAATAGATTATCAAGTTTCATTAATTACCCAGCTCTACTATAAATATATTATCATATTTCAAACATAAAGCAGAACTTCATACTAAATGCAGTCAAGAAGGCTTAATAAAGGCAGTTTTTTTTTAACTAAATGATCTTGCTTGAAAACCTATTTTAATGAATCTTAAATTAAAAAACAAAATGTGTCACTAGGTGAAATTCAGTGTACACTACTTGCAGTGCACATGCTCATTAAGTCAGAAAAGGTATCTACTTTGTGGTCATTGATATTGTTTACAAATAACAAAAATATTCAATGAAAAGTAGTGATTTGTATCACAAATTTATCATTTCATTCTGAAGTCAGTTTTTGAGTGAATAATCCATAACAAGTTATACAGAGCAGCAGGTAATATTAAAGCAAAGAAGAAATGTAATATTTTTCCAAATCTAAAGTTTAAACATTGTATGTACATGAACAGAAAAAAAAAAAGAGTATTGAGTATAAATTATAGCATTGAACTACCTAGATATATATTTGATGGCTCAAATACAGGTTATATTTAAACATTCTTTTCTTTCTACTGAATGAAAATATGCCTTCTCCTTTTAGATTCACAAGATCTAACGTAAGAGTTATAGGTTAGCATATTACTGTGGCTCCACCCTGGTGGCTAACTCACAAGTTATTGAGGGTGGTCCAACAAGTAGAATGGTGAATAATAATGTTACATCAAATGATGCAATAGTCAGGAAGAAGAATCAAATACAAACAGTTGGATTAAAAATTTCTGTTTAAAAGATCCTTCAATCTCCCTTTTTAAATCTAAATTTACAGAAAGCTAGAAGAGAAAAGTGGACACAAGTAGTCAGTGTTTAAGGTCAGTTAGCACTAGGTACAATGACCTTTTGACATTACATTTTATGCCATTTTTGGTAATGTATAAATATCAAACACTTTGCAAACAAGCACAGGCTACCCATAAGCTAATCATGAAAACCAAAAAAATTCAGTCATCCAGAGTTGCGAAATCAAATACTTCCCAAGAATATTTTGAAACTTAAAAACTTGATTTACCTAGTTTCTTCTTGGTTAAAATTGTTTTATTGGAAACCCTTGCTACTTACATTAATGTACCAATTAAAAAAAGTATCTATATGAAAGAATGATGAGACAATTTTATCATTTAAAAGTATTTCTATTCCAAAATATTTAACTTGGCAAAACCTTTTGTTCTTAATAATTGTCATATGTTTTTGCAAGTATTTTAAATGGTGTGTTTCTGATAACATTTCACTTCCTTCACCCCAGCCCCCATTTTACATTGAATAATAATGTAGACATATTTATAAACTTGTTGTTTCAGAACTCTACCTAGCTCAATTACATTATTTCCAAACTATTTTATCTCACTAGACCACCACTACCGTATCAACTTTCTAAATAAAATATCAGCAATATTTAAATTTCATTAGAAAAGCTATTATATCATTGTAATTTTCCACTTTCAGTATCTGTAACAATGATAGCAGTTAATTGTTCACTTATGTTTCACTTTCAAGCAAAACCTTGCCTTTAATTTAGTTTAAATGATAACTTCTTGATTAGCCTAGATTTCTGACATAACTATTCATTTAAATACCTTCTTTCCTTTCAATAACAAACTCTGTCTTAAACAAGAATAATCAATATTTGGAACCCACAAATTAATTCTGAACATGACATCTTCAAACAAAGTCTAAGCCACACTCAAAAACTCATGACACAAGGATAGGGGAGAACAGTATCACCACCCTATAGCTACTAGTATAATAAAGTATAAAATGTACAGCACGTTCACACCAACATTATCTTTACCTTTTGTTTAAATTATTTTTATTCACTCAATCTGGTTACAAATAACATTAAGAGATCAATTTTTTTAATCACTCTGTAGCCTACAATTTGGCAACAACACAATATTAATTTATTATTTTAAAAAGGTCTTAGTCTTAGTTCCTCCCGTTCCGTTGGGAACATTGGTCAGCGAGACCTCGCCATCTGCCTCTGTCATGAGCGATCTCCACCGCTTGATCAAATGTTAGATCCACCAGTTCCAAATCCTCTTTAAAAGTTTTTCGCCATGTTTTTAAAAGTAGTAGAGGTGTACCTATTAAATCGAAAAATGGCACGAGACTGACTACGGAAAGAGAACAACTGGAAAGGTGGAAAGAACATTTTAATGAAGACCTGAACCAATGTGAACCTGATATTTTGTTAGACTTATCTAATGAAAATGTCAGAGCAATTTTGAACGTAAACCTAAATGACATATCTCTAGAAGAAGCTAGAAGAGTGTTGCAAAATCTGAAAAACAACAAAGCAGCAGGGTCAGATGAGTTGCAACCTGAATTACTGAAGAACGGAGGTCAAGCATTGGAACTGGAGTTATTAGATATTTTTAACAAGACTTGGAAACATGAAACTATTCCATCAGAATGGGGTCAGGGTGTGATTGTCACTATTCCGAAAAAAAGGAGACCTAAGTGATTGTAACAACTGGAGAGGAATTTCTTTACTATCAATACCTGGTAAAGCTTTTTGTTATATATTATTAGAAAGGTTGAAAGATGAAGTGGTCGCCTTATTAAGGGAAGAACAGGCTGGATTCAGAAGCGGAAGATCATGCACTGAACAGATATTTTAAAAAGGTAAGTTTGAAACATTACGCTGAAGTGCTTCACGTGAAACAGGAAATCTAAGTTACTCTTACAGTCAGTGCCTTACGATCAATAATTCTCAGGTCAGATAAGACTAAAAGTAAGTGTGACATTATGAATGATAATCACTGACAATGACAGAAGTGCTTATTACTATTAACTTCTAGTTCTAGTTTTAAGTGCAACAATAAGTTTCTAAATTAGGCATAAGTAAAATTATCAGTATCCCCTTAGTTGCTAACTTACCATACAAATGAGTACAATACAAAATAACACGCACAGCGAATGAAAAACTGATCACCTTCAATATCAAAATTCCTGCAACAAGTGTGATAAAGCTCTTCAGTTTCTGGGGCACTACAAATTTTTCGACACATCAATGACTGCAAAAACAATCTATGATGATCACCGAGATCAGCCATTTTGTATATGTTCAGACAACTTTCAACTTCGACTCGGGTTTAATTTCACAATTGATAATGATGACTCTGTTATTCTTCGCTTGCTAATAAGTAATGACACGATATATTAAAAAATACATGTTTGGGTCAACTTATTTTCTGGAATCATCCAGGTATACTTCCCGCCATTATAATGTTTTACACCTTAATGCCCTCTAAGAAATTAACATTTCATGTTTTACCAGAAATATATTACTACGCAACCTATTACAACAAAGTGATAGCACAGACATTGTTGCAAAGGCTAATATAGACAGGTCTAGTTTCAGGTTAAATTCTTTGGGGCCTTTGATGTCACATTAAGTTCACCACACACTTAGATTAGCGAATGTTAATAACTTATAAGAACTGGATGGCCGAAGCCTTCTTACCACATTACACTTTCACACATTTACGTGAGAGAATCTTATGTGTTTACCCCTTTCTTTGAACCGTCGTCACGTTTCTCTAATTACTGTACAATTAGATCAACAACTTGTTCCATCTGTAAACCTAGACATTATTTAGTAGCAACTTTCCATTACCAGTCATTTGCTACTACTTGTTTGTTGTCAAGTGCAAATTTACACAATCGGGATGTCTATCAGGCCCGTACTCAGAATGTTTGAAAGGGGATGTTACGTCTCCGTTTGTTAATTGATTTTCGGTAACTTTGTTCCGACGAAACTTAAGCGACACAAGTCTTTACTTAAT